GTTTTACGTTTCATCCAAAGGACGATGCTTTTTTGCAGTAAAGTGTCCCCGTCACTATACTGGGGCATTAGGACCCACACAGACCGCAGGGTGAGCGCCCCCTGCTGGCCCCCCTAACACCTCTTCCAGCAGCAACCTCAGTTTTTCCCAGGAGGTCTCCCATCCAGGTACTGGCCAGGCTCACACCTGCTGAGCTCCAGTGGGTTTGCCAGTTGGGAGTGGCAGGGTGATACGGCTGCTGTCTGTGTATTGCAGACTGAGCCTCTGCGAACAGCTGAATTGCTTGAGCAGGAGGTGGCCTGTTTCCCAATTCCATCCCCACTCTCCCCTGAGGTCCAGAGGGAGGGATTCTCCACCATCTGCAGTGAAGCGCAAACCGGGTAGTGAAAACCTGGAGCAGGCTGTCCAGTCCTGGTGCTGAAATGCCTCCAGAATGAAAAATGAGGAACATGATCAGGGCCCTGCTGTCTGTATCATGTTGCTGAAAGGTTCTCCACAAACGCCAAAATCAGGCCCCTTCACACGGCGACAGCACGACTGTCCCGCGGGTTACTCTCACGGGATACAATGAAAACCTACAGGGAGACGCCGAATTCGAGGAACGTGAGAAAACACACGTGGGCGAGCGGCGCCACCTTGTGGACGCGCTCGGGAGCGCAGAGGCTTTTCTGAAACGAAACGCCGGCTGTGACTGTGACGCTCAGGCCGGACCGGTACCGTCGCGGTCCGCCTTGACCTACAGTCCGGACAAAAAGGGGAGACCTTCCTCGCGTTCACGCGTGGCGTGGGCTGCGGAAGGCTTTTACCCCAGGAAGGGATGTTGCCGGCTCCCTTCCAGCCGGAGCTGGAGTTCACGCTCTGCTCGCCTCGACATCCCTGTCCGAGCCCCATCCACGCACACTCGCGAACTAGGGCCCGAGTCACGCGGGGGACCACCACACAGCACCGCTGCCGTAACGCGAGCACACTGCTCTGTGGCACGAGACACGCGCCCCCTCACCCCTCGACTTGACACCTCGTGCTGGCGCGACGCCGGACACTGGACACCGGACACTGGACACTGCGCCAGGCCGCTTCTAGTCTGCCCGTTTGTGGGAGTTTGGTTTTCCTTCGGATTCTGAATGTGGGGAATTTGGGAAACAAAGAGAAAGCTAACTAGAGTTAAAATTATAAAAGCCCAGCGGAAAGAGATAGGCAGAAAATTAAGTTACGCCGCCTGGACTCCTTCTGGCGTTCAAGCACACAACAGAAAGAAAAGCAATATAATCCAGGCTGGGCAAACGATTTTTTAAATTTTTAGAAAATAAATAAAAAATTAGATATAATGATGCGTTCCTTAACATTGCACTACTTTAAAACCTATAAAAACCTATAAAAAAAATGCGCGAAAAACGGGTGATTTTGCTTCCTCGTGATCAGCCAGAATCTTTGTGTACGCCGTACGGTTTTTACTTCTTAATTAAACGCTTAAAATACACGAATTTCATAAAGACAACACATCACAGAAATGAAGATGGCGAGTTACAGTTAGAACAGACGGCCGGCGCTTTGTGAGTCACTGTTCAGATTGCTGTTGGCTCAGTTACTTAAAGGCGTAATCATTCATTCTAGGATTGGAATTCATATATGTGCCCTGTCACTGTTGTTAAATCTTGTATTAAGAGTATTCTTTCTGTTCGTACCACTAAACTACACTCCTTCAGTTTCCCGGTTCGCAGTTTGTAAATGGGTCGAGGGCTCCGCCGTGCTGCCGCCAGTCCCCGGCGCCGCCGCTGGGTGGCAGTGTCGCTGCGGCGACGCGCTGTGCCGAAGGCGCCGCTCTCTCCCCCTTCCCGCTGTCGTTGGTGCGGCCGCTCTGTTTGGGCTGAGGCGAAGGGAAGATGGCGGCCGTCCGAAGCTTGCAGGTCTCGGTGAAGTCAGAAGCTGGGTCCGATCGCTCAGAGTCAGATTCTGAATCCGACTCGGACCGGGATTCCCGCGAACCGGAGCCAATGGAGGTAGAAGAAGGTGAACTGGAACTGGAGTCCATTCCGGTCCGCCGGTCACTGAAGGAGCTGTTACCGGTAAGTAAGGCCGCGCCACGACCTCGGTCCCCAGTAGAGAGCAAGGCCGGGCTGGCGTGGCTGACCAGGGGGGTTACAACGTTCCAAGAATCGGTGGTAACAACTGCTTAATGACAATGTTGTCCTGCTGGTTTTGCTTTATTTCTGTGAAAGGAGCAGTTAAAATTGTGGTATTGGTGTCTCGAATGTTTTGTAAATAGGAGTGTTAATGAGATCAGGTCCTTTTAACTGGGCTCAGGGATTATCGTGTAGTTTCAGTTTTGTCAGAGTACTTGAAGCTTTAGGAGCAGATCGAGTCTGAAGCACAGCCTCCAGTAATGGCCACGGGATAGAATCTTTTTCCCAAATGTGTTTATAATCGGTGTCTCAGAGCGATGAGGTGCTGGTACCTTACCTTTAGGACTAGGGGTTGCGTCGGAGTGGGTTGGGTCTGTTTCAAAATATTAAACTTTACGTTGCCTATTCCCCTTTATCGTACTGTCGAAAAGCTCCATCCCGCCTTTCCTGTTTTGTAAACTGCTTTTTGGAGGGTCGGGTTGGGTTTTGTCGTTGTGTTGAACTCATGGCTGACGTTTCTCAACAGGACACCAGCCGGCGCTACGAGAACAAAGCTGGGACCTTCATCACGGGAATCGATGTCACCTCAAAGGTACGGGCATCCTTGCTCTTTCCGTGCCCTGCGTCTGTTTCCTGCTCCCTGGTCTGGCGGCGCTGTGGTCAGTATTACTGCCTCGCAGCGCTGGGGCCCCGGGATCCGTCCCCGACCCGGGGTGCGGTCTATGTGGAGTTTGTATGAGTTACCTCGGATAGAGTGTGTGTGTGTGATTGCCCTGCGATGGACTGGAGTCCTGTCCAGGGCGTATCCTGCCTTAAGCCTTGCTGGGATAGACTCCAGCTCCCCTGTACTGGTTGAAGCAGTTAGAAGACATCGCTGGTCCCTGGTCTTACGTCTCCGAGCTCCAAGTATTAATGAAACAGTCAACATCCTGGTTAACCCCAGTGTCCTGGCCAAATTTCCCCCTGGGCTTTACCCATCATGGCCTCCTAATAATCCCCATCTCTGAACTGGCTTCATCACTCTGCTCTCCTCCCCACTGAGAGCTGGTGTGTGGGGAGAGGACTGGTGCATCATCCAGGTGGGGCTGCACACTGGTGGGGGTGGAGGGGATCCCCATTACCTGTAAAGCGCTTTGAGTGAATGTCCAGAAAAGCCCTATATAAGTGTAAGCAATTATTATTATTATTAATAATTAATTAATCAGTCCGGTGCGGCCTGGCTGCAGTTCGTGGTTCAGAGTCCTTGAGCCCAGACGTGTCCCGCCCCTCCCCTCCCCTCCTGGCTGCGGCTGTGGCGCAGGGATTGCGTAACGCGGTGTTCCCGTCTCCCGCAGGAGGCCGTGGAGAAGAAGGAACAGCGGGCCCGGAGGTTCCACTTCCGCGCCGAGGTCAACCTGGCCCAGAGGAACGTGGTGCTGGACCGGGACAGGATGAGGAAGGGTGAGTCCTTCAGCTGGGCTCTGTGTGCTGGCTGCAGCGCGCTAGTGTGTTACTGCTCACAGTTTAGATCAGATCAGATCACTTCATTGGTCATATACAATTGCTTGTATCAGGAATTTGTCTTCACATACCCCAGCTTGCTCTCCATAAGACACACAGACAGGGAGAGAAGCTTGGGGTCAGAGCGCAGGGTCAGCCATTTATACGGCACCCCTGGAGCAGCAAGGGTTAAGGGCCTTCCTCAGGGGCCCATCCGAGTAGGATTCCTCTGCCGGCCGCGGGATTTGAACCGGCAACCTTCCAGCCACAGATTCCTCTGCCGGCCGCGGGATTTGAACCGGCAACCTTCCAGCCACAGGCGCAGATCCTGAGCCACAGAGCCACTGCACCGCTTCGCCGGCTTAGCTGCTGCCTTAGAAATACAGTCCTCCCCATTCGTGTAAATAAATCCCACTGTTCCTACTTTCTTTTAAAAGGGTAACAGTGTGAAAGTATGTAGATGAAGAAAGCAGGGTTAACCAATAGGGTACAGTTTGTGTAGAAGCCCACTACGAGGAGCAGAAGTTCTAGTAACTGAAACGACAGCACCCTTAGGAAAGAGCTGACTGATGCATTCAGTGCCGGATTGTGGTGTCCGTAGGCCTTGGGCACTTTCACTCTGAAATGTGCAAAAAGAGGGTTGAACGCCAGTTGACATGATGCACTTTAAACTGTTCTAGTGCTAAACCACCTGATTGATGAAGCAAGCCGAGCGCCCATCACTTCCATACTTCTAGTTTCTAGAGCAGTTGCTAGAGAGCTCATGATTATTGATTTGGAGCATCTGGAGTCGATCGCAAGCACGTTGTTTCAGCTCGGTTTTTGTTAGTCACTAGTGTTTCCCTCCTTCCTAGGCCCTGGGCACTGTGCCTACAGAGCTTGATGGGAAATCCGGCATTGGATGCGTTTCCCAAAGGCAGAGATTGTAGTCTCTGCTCAGACAAAAGAATGATGGGAAGACAGTTTGATACACGCAGGAGGGGAACGGCATAAACGGGGAGCCCACAACCTAAAAGAGCTGCCACCAAAAGTTTTTTTTAAATCCACCCTTGGGATATTCCTGCATGTGGAGCCTTAAGGATGCGGTAGCCTGGATTGAGCTAAGGGACCAGTGCTGTGTGAAACCTTAAGCGTCGCAGAAAGAATTTTAACAATTCATGAGAGACGCAGACAAGAAGGCACTGCAGAGAGTGGCCAGCAGTAAAAAGCCTAGTGAGTTGAGGGTCTTCAGCCTTCAGGCAGAGAATTACAACCGTCTGCTGAGATGTTTCAATGACATGGAACAAGGTTACTGTCAGTTTGTCTTTGCATTGACCACATTAGATGCCATTTGCAGGAATTGAATTCTGTGTCCTCGGTGTGTTACTTGCAGGTTGCAGAAACGTTTTAAAATTTAAGATGGTGTAGCTGTGACCTAGATGGAATTACCTATGAAAAACACAGATGTGATTTTAATACAGTTTGCATAAATTACATCTTACCTCTTACATCAAGGAGATTGATTTGAATGGGGGAAGAACAAGGGTGCAGGCACAAACTGCAGCAGTCTTGTTGCTAGTCTGCTCCTGTGGCCCTGAGAAGTGTCTCTAAAAAATATCCCTGTGCTTTGCAGCTGTGCCTAAAGCGCGCTTGGAGGCTCTGCACGTGACTGGAGTTGATGAGATGAGCACTCAGGACGTGTTTGGCTACTTCAAGGAGTATCCCCCCGCCCACATCGAGTGGATAGACGACACCTCCTGTAAGTGCTGTGTGCTGCTGCCCTGTTGTACCAGCCTGAACCCCCACGAGTGAGATCACTCAGCTGAATTCTGCATTCAAGCATAGTAGTGCAGAATTTCCCACGTGCTTTTTTGCCATACCAGAAACAGTTTCTGGGCTGTAGATGTCTTTGTTTTTTTATTCAAAGGAAGACATTCTCCTTGCACTGAGACGAGTAAAGTATGGCATTGCAGCTTTCTGTTAATTTGGAGCAGGTGGGATGCCCGGTGGGGCTCGGTGAGTTTGGGCTGGCCAGGGGCTCACCAGTTTGCTGTCCATGAGCCTACTGGGAGCCCCACCCTGAGCTTGCAGCTGCTCACTTGTCAGTCCTGTGTGGCAGAATGTGAGCTAATATACAGGAGACTGCATAGATATACAGCACAGTGGAACTAAACACTCAAATGTAAAACAAGAAAAAGGTTAAAAATATTTATCATATAGATTGTGGTTTTAGATGCTAGAGAATAAAAGTAGGTGTTCAGTCTAGTTTTAAGTAGAGCAGAACATCCCAGAGCGCAGAGCAGTGATCCAACAGAGCCGGCGTGCAGGGAAGCTAACCCATGGTGTGGGATCCCCTCTCCTCCAGGTAATGTGGTGTGGCTTGATGACGTCACCTCAACCCGAGCCCTCATCAACATGAGCCGCATGCCGGACCCCGCCGCCAGCAAGGCCGACCCGGAGGAGAGCGCCCCCACACGGAGCGGGAGGGGTGGGTGCCCTGCGGTCCCGGGTCCGAGTCGCCGCAGTGTCCGGGCGGGCACCTCGCCTCGTGTGTCATTGTGTTCAGTGTGTTTGCGTCTCAGCTGTCACAATGTTGTTCTGTACCTAAACTCTTAAGGGTCCGTATGTCCAAATGATTGTGAATGTCAGATAAAAAGGGTCTGTGGAGATTATTTGACACAAATTCTATCTGCACCAGGGGTCCCAGAAAACTCGGAGGGGGTACCACTAATGTTGGGGAGGGGGGGTGTTGAAATGCTTTATTATCCTTATTCTGTGTGTGCAAAATGGGAATTTGGTCACAAAATGCAGAGGCCCAGCCTTGCCTGGAAGAGCCCAGGGTGTGTGGCAGTGGGATACTGTGCTCTGGCAGTGTGTGATAGTGTGTAACGGCGTGGATCAGTGTGCGGCAGTGTGCCCTGGTGGTGAGCGGCGGTGTGGATCAGTGTGCGGCAGTGTGCCCTGGTGGTGAGCAGCGGTGTGTATCGGTGTGCGGCAGTGTGCCCTGGTGATGAGCGGCGGTGTGGGTCAGTGTGCGGCGGTGAGCAGCGGTGTGGATCAGTGTGCGGCAGTGTGCCCTGGCGGTGAGCAGCGGTGTGGATCAGTGAGCGGCAGTGTGCCCTGGGCTGCTATTGACTGTTGCTTTGTGTGACTGATTTGCAGACCGGCGAGGAAGGGACTCGGACGAGGAGGCGGAGGAAGGGGAGGTTGAGGATGATGAGGATGAGAAGAGCAGCACTGGCAGTGCGGGGAAGCCCAGCGACAGTGAGGAAGAGTCGGAGAAGAAGCCCGCTCCTGAAATCACAGAGGTATTGCTCACTTCCCCTCTGCTGTCCAGAGAGACTCCCTGAACGGTGCTGCCTCTCCCACTCAGTGTGTTCCAATGTCACTCTTACAGGCATGATACTGCCTGAAGCAGCCCCTGGTTGCTCTTCTGTTCACTGTTAGTTGAGTTGCAGCATTACTTTAGCAGCTCAAGCACAGGAGTCTGTACGTTGCTGGTCTTTATAGGAAACATCTTGCACCTTCACTGCATCCTGTTTATTTCTGTAAGTCGTATACCTTGGGCATTAGGTAATCCGTAGGCATGGTAGAGCTATCTGAATGCAGAACCTCTTCCGACTGGATGTCATTCCAGACTGACGAGCTGTCCCAGGCCGAGAGAGAGTCGCTCCTCCGAAATGACCTGCGGCCCGCCACCAAACCCTTCAAGGGGAACAAGCTGTTCCTGAGGTTTGCCACTCAGGGTGAGCATCCTGCGCAGCCCCGGTTCACTGTTCCAGCTGGGGGTAGCACTGGGGTCTTGAAGTTTTATGCCGTTTGTTTTGAGGTTATTATGTGCTCCTACACAGGTCTGAGATAAATTATGAATGTGGGCTTCATTGCTGTGTTTTGCACACGAAACTGAGAGCTGAAGGATCCAGGTGGTATTCTTTTACAGTCTGGAGGAATTGACAAGATTTGCTCCCTTTTCTTTTCAACGCAGATGATAAGAAAGAACTGGGCGCCGCCCGGCGGAGCCAATACTACATGAAATATGGGAACCCCAACTACGGGGGGATGAAGGGAATCCTCAGCAACTCCTGGTAAGATAGTTCTCCCCGCCTGCTGTGTGCAGGACACCCGGACAGTCGCGTCCCGGGATGACCAGTCCAGGGTGACGTCAGATGGAGAGGGGGTTTATCCCTGGGGCAGTAAGATCAGGGTAGACTGGGACAACGTGTGGTCACGCTGGTAAACAGCACTGCAGTCATCAGGCAGGAAAGGGACCGGCCCATTCCTCCTGGAAAATCCCTCTTGAGGTTCTTACGCATATCTGGTATCTTGTGCTTCCAGGAAGCGGCGCTACCATTCCCGGCGGATCCAGCGGGACGTCCTGAAGACCAAGAAGAGCCTCATCGGAGACAGCGTGGGGCTGACCCCGCCATACAAACACCGCCACTCCGGTGCGTGCGCGGCCGTTCGGGTGGGGGGGTGGTCTGAGCCTTGCCGGGTCTGCCCGTGCCGAGCGCGTGAGCTTCACAGCCTGCTTGTGCGTCCCCAGACCTGGTGAACCTCCCCGAGGAGCCCATCGAGGAGGAGGACGAGGAGGAGGACATGGATGAGGACGAGCGGGTGGTGGAGTACCGGGACGAGAAGGAGCGGGAGAGGGGGCCGCGGGGCCCCGCCGCCGGCCGGCGCCGGTCCAGTTCGGCGTCCTCGGCCTCTGACTCGGACGAGATGGACTACGACCTGGAGCTGAAGATGATCTCCACTCCCTCGCCCAAGAAGAGCATGAAGATGACCATGTACGCTGACGAGGTGGAGTCCAAGCTGAAGACCATACGGTGAGTCAGCCAGCCAGGACGGTCGGGCGGCATCGGTCGCCGCAGCGATCAGCCCAGTTCTCCGATTCAGCTCTCCCACCTCGTTCCACATCAGCCTTGTGTCATGTAGAGACACAAGCAAGAGAAAGCACGAGGGCAGTGTCCTATATTCCTGGCCGAGCCGTATAATCTCCCACATGTATACCCCGAGACCTGGGGAGGCTGCTGAGGAAGGTTTGATTTTGACTTTCAGCTCTGATCTTGATCTGGGTTTGCGATACTGCAGTTAGATGACCCCCCCTTGCTGCTGTCACTGCTGGGGCAAATTAGGCAGATCATAATCGGTGGGGATCCCAGCACTTGGTTTCTGCTGTCGCACTCCAGGAAGGTGCCCTCCAGTGGGGGAGCTTGTCTCTGTGATCACGCACAGGACTGCACCTCCTGGCTGTGAAGAGCTCCGGGTTTCAGAGCACTGCGCAGTGTGCAAAGACTTCTCATTACTCATCTGTCAGACTTTGATTTCTCACCGGTTGTTGCCTGTACAGAAACTCCATGAGGGCCGACGGCGTTTCCGGCAGCAACATTAAGAACCGGATCGGAACCGGGGCCAAAGCCCCGCGGGAGAAGGTGACGGACATCCGGCTCCTGCTGGAGGAGAAGCGGCAGAACCAGGCACAGCAGCAGACGTCGACCAGCTCAGCCAAAACAGGCGAGTCACTGGGAAACGAGCAGGAGCGCAGGGGTCAGACAAAGGCAGCATTGTTCTGTGAGCTCATGGTGCTCACAGTGTTTGTATATCCAGCAGCACGTGATCATGATCACTGTCGGGGGGTGTAGTTCCAGTGGAAGTCATGTCCAAAGAACCATATTGATAATTCTATTTGCCGAGGTGCAACATTTGCTGTCGGTCTTCACCTGAGCTGCTCTGTGGGGGTGACAGGCGCTGATCCTTTTCCTGCTCTGCAGATGTCCGACAGCGTCTGGGAAAGCGGCCCTACTCTCCCGAAGGCCGGCCGAGCAAGGTGATGGTCAGCCCGGCCCCCCTTCCGCGCAGAGAACCCCTCACTGACGTCCACAGCAGGCTGGGGACCTCCAAGCTCGACCCCCAAGGGCACTTCTCTGAGAGCAGCAAGGAGAAGAAGCCAGGTGAGGCAGAGGAGCCTTTCGCTGCCGGTAGGGGCTGCAGGAGTGTGCAGGGGTCGGGGCTGGGGTAGTGATATTTCACAAGCACGTGCAAAAGACAAACAGAGACCCATAGAGCCGTTACAGCCAGTGGCATGCAGTAAACAAGTCATCTGTATTGTTCTGTGCTGTCTGGAGCTGCTGTTTGGCATTGATGATGTGTAATAGGCATTAGGGTCCAGGGACACTGTCTGTATTAAAGTGGCTGACCTGTGACTCGTTTCCTGTCGCCCTCTGTGTCCTGATTGCTGTCCTCCAGCAGGCAGCCTGTGGAGCAGGCTGGGCCCCAGCCAGAAGGAGAGGGCGCCGGGGAGGAAGCAGGGGCGGACGGCGAGCGCGGGGCTGGAGGACGAGAGCTCGGCGTCGGGGGCCGAGGAGGAGGACTCGGAGCTGCAGCGGGTCTGGGGCGCCATGATCAAGGAGAAGGAGCGCTCCCACAAGAAGAAGAGCCGGCTGGACAACCTGCCCTCGCTGCAGATCGAGATCAGCAGGGACAGCAGCAATGGCTCGGACAGCGACTCCTGAAGGGGGGCGCCGGACTGACAGTCAAGCCCTCAGCTGCCTGCTGCCCGCCCCCTCACACCGGGTACAGACTCTGCCACTGTGGCACCAACGCCCACGCGCCAGCACTCAGTCAAAGACCGCGGAGACCCGAGAGACACTGAGCAGGACTCGAGACACTCGCCACTCACTTCCAGTAGTTTTCTATCAGGTTCTTGTGTAGTGGCTCCCATAAGTGCTTTTATACCACTGGCTCATGTAGTCTAGGAGTCCCTGTCTGTGTACACCTCGTCCCAGAATAACAGTGCTGATTGTTTCTAATACAGCTTTGGAGTGAGTATTGTGTGTGTCCATCCTGTGCTTCTGGTCCCCTTTAAAACGCCAGCAACATCTCCAGTTAGCAGTTGTGTACCTGGTGTGTAGCTCCTCACTGGAGTTACAGTCCAGATCTGCACCACACAGATGTAGCCAATCGCTCTCCCGCCAGTCCTGATCACGGGGAGGATACACGTTTGGTCAGAGAGGACTGTGTGTAGATAACAGATGGCATTACAGTTGTTACCCCGTTATCATAGTTTCCTCAGGAGGGCTCCCCGTTGAAGCCTTCATCCCCTGAGGTCTTGAAAGGGAAGATGTTTCTGTAGTAGTGTGGCCTGAGTGGGTTCAGCAGTATCCAGGGAACTGTTTGCAGCAGGGAGCTGATCTCCAGCCCTCAAGGGCCACCGGATTCTCTGGGTTTCATTCCCTTTCTCTTTCCACGTGAGCTGTTTGGATAATGATAATGACCTCACACCTCCTGCATCCTGGGTTCGATCTAGGGCTGTATCTGGGCCTTCTGTGTGGAGTCTGCATGTTCTGTGTATTCTGTAGATTTTTTTTTTAGGTGTGCATGTTTCTTTCCAAATCCCAGAGTCACGCATGTCAGGTTTCTTGACAGGCGTGTGTTCAAACAGAGTGCACACATTGGCCCGGTGAAGGACTGGCATCTTCTGGGATAGGGTCTGGGTTGTGGTGACCCGTACCAGAAATAAATGGCTTTCTGGAGACAGTCTGGTTTTCAGTTTTAATCTCTCGGTACTCTACCAGTGCACACAGAACTGGAGTGAAAATTAGATTAATTACACACAGGCACACACTCACACCATGGAAAACTTTCCCAGAAGCCAATTAGCCTGCCCATATGCCTTTGCAGGGTGGGAAGAAACTGGAGCACCCAGAAGAAACGCAGGTGACCATAGGGAGAACATACAAACTCCATGCAGACAGCACCCCAGTTCTGGAATTGACCCCAGGACTCCAGCACTTTGACACAGCAACGCTGGCGACTATACCTCCCCCTACTTCAATACTTACAATCTAGATTGTGTTAATCCTGCTGATTATCTGTTAATTAAGCAGATGGATCAGACCACAGTGACTCCTGCAGTGAGGTGGGCTGAAGCAAGTGGAAGTTGTGCCCCTGACCTAAGCAAACCTAAAAAAAAAAGATTTGAAAACTTTGAGACTTTGAGAGCTTTCAGGGGTCACAAGTCCGCCAGCAGTGGGGGCTTCTGGGAAGTCCCATTGCAGAGCTGCACCCACAGTCTTTTCCCTGGAGCCACTAGTGGGCTGTGCCTTTCTTCCCACTTAATCTGGCGAAGGCGGTGTAGAGATCTCCGTGTCCTGTGAGTCCTCGGCTCTTGGCCTTCTGTGTGGCTGGAGCTGGTGGGGGTGTCGGCCGTTCGGCGGAGATGTTGAAGGGCTCTGTGACTGAAGCGCAGGCTGTCTTTGTCTTGTGAGTCGAGCCTTAAACTGGACATCCTCACTCCGGATCACTGATCCTGCTGGGGGAAATTCTAGGCTCACTCTTCTATAGTCACGTTTCTCCAGGCTTGACGTAACGATTTTTTTTTTACATTCAAACTACGAGATGCTGAAATGTAGCTTTTCCACAGAAGCAAAGAATTCCCTGGGTTTTGCTTTCACGCTGGTTTCACGGTGCAGTCTGTGAGTCAGTCGATGATAGTGTAGCTCCCGGAAAGTGGAGTGTGTTTGTGTGTCACTCACCCCTTGTTGATCCACAGTTGAGTGGGCCAGCACTCAGTCTGGCTGCCCCCTGTCTTGCCTCATGTATTGATCAGGGTTTGTGTCCTCTGACCTTCGTGTGTGTGTGTCTGGGGTGGGAGGGGACCTTCTCCAGAGCCCTGGCATAGGGGAACTTCATGGTCACACAGCTGGGGAAGGGGCATTAGTACCAATTTGCCTGAGCTGGACCAATATACCACTGCAGGGCAAAAGTAAACAGAACTGGGCAAGAAGGTTGCTTATTCATCAGATTTTAAAGCCAGGTTTTGTCCTTTTTTTCACCCCTTTGGTACTGCTCTTGGTTTAAGTGTGATATCACATTTCCTGTACGAGAAACACTTCTATTTTAAACATTCTGTAATCCTAGAGCATTTGATCTGTGCTGTGGTTTGACCAAACGTGTGTAATAGCATTGTTAATTCCATTGTGCTGCATTTATAAAACAAGGTGTAGACTTTTTAACGTGTGTTTTGGATAAGGCTTGAAGATTTTAAGTTGCTGTGCTTTTTTTCCCCTCAGTGTATGTTGGATACCTTGTGAAACCTGCGTCTGCAGGCTCTTACCTCCAGACGAACATTGAGGGGATGAACATCATTCAGAATATTTCCTTCAGTGTTATTTTCCATTATTTCCTGTAACCATGTTTCCCAAGATGGCTATTGGTTATTCTCATGTGGAAAT